TTTATATGAGTTTACAAGTCTTCCCTAACCGCAGATTCCCGTTAAGACTTTTACGTCTTTTGAACATTTATCTTAGAAGTCCCTGTATTTCTTTGGGACAACCATATTCCCTCCAGCTTGAATGTTTGCCCAGGAAAGAGTAACTGAAGTGGATTTCAAAGGCTGGTGTGTGATTTTTGGCTAAATACTTTAACTTTCAGCATTTTAATTAAGATAAGCTGATAGGGATCAACTGGACTCCCACATAGTCAACCACGATTTGAGTCCCGGACCTGGCAGCTTACAACTCACTCCAGGCACATGTGTGCGTGTGTCTAAAATCCCGAGAGGAAAATGGAGGAGGAGGGCTTGGGGAGTGGCCTTCCCCCCTGGGGGGGGTTGCTTTTTGCTTTCTGTCTCTCTGGTGAGTGCATGCACTCCCATAGCAAAAGTCTCTCTCTCAAAACAGAAAACAAAGATTAGCTGACATATCTGTCATGTTACTTCCCCTGCCTCTTGTTCTGCAGTTGGGTCATTTTTGTTTTCTGGTTTCCCTTAAATTTTGGCCAAAGAAGGAAGAAATCCTGGAAACCGTTGTGTGCTGCTAAAGTAAAATGTGCTTATGGAACAGTTTGCTACAGGGGAAGTCACACTGTTTCTCATGAAATGAAATTCTGTGGGACTTCTGTGTCCCCTCACTCATGTCACCCATGCACCACACAACTGCGAAGAGACCCCGCGTAACCCCAGCCCTCCCAGATACAGAGCACGTTCTGACTGGCACATGCAGCTACTTTGATCCTGGTATATTTGCCGAATCAGCTGTGGAAGGGCACTTTGGGGCAACAGTCTCGTTAAGATCAGTAAGTGGAGAGGCTGGCTCACTTTCTGTCTTTCTTTTTCTCTTTTTTCTTATTGTGACCCCCTCCTATCTTTTCTTTTTCTTTTTCTTTTGTGGAGAGATTTTTACTATAGGTCATGTACACTTGCCAGACAGAGAGAGACAGAGAGACAGAAAGTGAGAAATCACCCCCCAGGGGGAATGGCCATGCTGCAGTCTCTTCTCCTCCATTCTCCTCTCGGGATCTTGGGCACGCATGCACACGTGCCCGGCATGAGTTCAAGCAACTGGGTCTGGGACTCGAACCATGGTCTACTACATAGGAGTCCAGCGACATAGCCATTATGCTAACTGCTGGTTCCAGACCCCCTTCTATTTCTTATGTCACCTACAGTGAAGGTGAATTTGGTGGTGGATAGAAAACATGTTTTTCAAAATTTTAGTGCTTTTCGCCTCCCTACTCCAAATCAGCTCTTTTGAGAGGTCAGATGCCTGCTCTATGCCTCATTCGAGCTGCCGCAGTGTATAGTACTTGGCAGGCACTCCACAGGTGTTTATGGCTAATGGATGCTAAGGTCTGGATAATGCTGTGGCCCCCCAAAGGCTCAGGTTTGGAAATTTGGCTCCCAGTGCAGTGGTATTGGGAGATGGTGGGACTTGAAAAGAGGCCCAGTGGGTGGTATTAGAATCACGGAAGTTCACCCTTGTGAATGGATTATGGTGTCTCATGAGACCAGTAAGTTCTAGCTCTCGTGAGAAAGGGTCAGTTCTTTTTTTTTTTTTTTTTTGGAGAGGATTTCGCTATAGGGCGCGTGCACTTGCCAGACAGACAGAGAGAGACATAGAGACAGAAAGCGAGAAATCACCCCCCAGGGGGGGATGGTCACGTCGCAATCCCTTCTCCTCCATTCTCCTCTCGGGATCTTGGGCACGCACGCACACGCGCCCGGTGTGAGTTCTAAGCCACTGGATCCGAGATGTGAACCACGGTCGTCTACGTGGGAGTCCAGCGACATAGCCATTACACCAACTGCTGGTTCCCAGAAAGGGTCAGGTCTTGTGAAAATGGGTTGTTTTAAAAGGAAGATGGCTGTCCTCAGTCTGTCTCTGTTTGTACACGCCTCCCCTCCTCTCTCCCTTCAGCCACATCGTGGTGGTGGGTTGTGCCCTTTGGACATTTCAGCAACCAGGGTCGTGAGTCAAACTTCTGTTCTTTATTAATCACCCCATCTCGGGCGTTTCTGTAAGCAACACGATAGGAGACTAAGACAATGGAGCACGCAGACTGAGGCTCCTGGAATCCCCGTTTTTGGGTGCCAGTAGTACACTATAATGAAAAGCAAGGAAAAGAAACACTGCTTGCTTTTTATTTATTAAGGTTTACTGGAGAGAATGATTGAGGCGATTAAACTTTGAAACATCGGATTTCAGTAAGTAAACCTAAAAAGCTTGAGTCCAACTTCTCGTACAAACTTCCCAAGGAATTTACTTGACAAATATGTTTTCAGTTTTGTTTCTCTGTT